GCTACTGTAATGACTGTCATTCAAAGGTAGATTCATTCAGAATATTCCTCAAAATGTCTCTCTGTGGGCAGAATATGGTTAGCGAGTCTCCAAGAAGCACCAGTTACAGAAACGTCGTTTTACACGAAGGACTGTAAATGCACACATACTGTATATGCCGTTTTTTGGCACAGTGCCTGTTTGCGCAGTTTAATGGGGCTAACCTTTCCCATCACACACTTAGAGGCACTTCTCTCTAGAAATCAACAGTTGTGAAGGGCAAATTCAAATTGGTACACCACCTCCCCTTAAATGAAAGGAAAAAGTCCCTTCATGTGTCACTTTAACTGTGTTTAACATGTTAAAGTAACACTAAGAGCAACCTGAACTTACAAGAATACAAGAATCCAACATCTACAGCACGGCTGCTAAACAGATAAGGTGCAATTTCACACCGTACCACCAGAAAGTAGGAATATATTATATGTGACACGGAAAGAAGAGACACAAATCTATTTAGCTATTTGTAATCTGAACTGCAGAAAACAGCATGAAAGCATCTGTATGTGGTTTGAAAACCAATTAAAATCTGATTTTTGGAAATGCATTTTTGTCATGAATTCGGTCCATGGACTTCCGTTTATTCACCACCAGAGGTCACCCTTTCCATTACATTGACTCTCCCACAACACAAACTGTTGCATAGCACCCCGGACTACATATCCCATCATTCTTTGCACGATTTGCACACTGCACTGATTGCACTCATTGCACACAGCTGTTTCTAATCACCTCATTCACTATATAACACCCACTCTTAACCACTATTCTCTGCTGAGTATTGTCTAGCCTGTACCCCTTTCCGAGTCTCCGTGTTTTCCTTGTTTTGCCTTGCCTGTTTTTGTGGTTTCTGATCTTTGCCTGTTTTCCTGGATTTCTCCCTCTCGTCTCGCCCCTGTGATTCTGTCTGCCGATCGGTGACCTACGCTAGCCCTAGGACTATTCTTGTGTTTGCCCGCCATATACCTGTTTGCCATTGTTTGACCCTGCCTGTTTACCACGTCTCTTTAATAAAGCTTGCAGATGGATCCACACGTCTCACGTCTCGTCAGCCCCGTTACAATTTTGGTCTGAAAGGTCAGATCAAATTTCAAATAGTATTTTTGTGTCATTCAGGATGTGATTTGTATAATGTCAAACACAATGCAATTATTTATTATTATTATTATTATTATGTTTCATGTTTTGTTTGTTTATACCCGCCTCAATTTCAATGTAGATGGTCTTGCATAAACAAATGTATTTTATTTATTTATTTGTTTGTTTCTTTGTATCAATCGGGGCCAACTGTAATTAAATAGTGACAAGTATAAATAAGTAAATACATTAGAATCTCACATTATTCAAGAGGAATTACACCAACTATTTGCACATTTATTTATTTGTTTCTTTCTTTCTATCTTCATTTATTTTATTTACCATTTGTAATGAAAACAGTAACGGGTATAAATACAGACAAAACATAAATAAATAAATACACACCCTAAGATTTATACTTTCCTTAACGCAATTCTTTTTGTAGGAAATCTTCTACTGTTATGTGCATGAGCTCCTCTCCTTGTTCAACTTTATCTAGTCAAATAAATTTCACCTGTCAACTACCAATTTATATTTACTGCACTTTATTCTTCTGAGTTTTCTCAGTTTTCAAGATTTAAAGTTTAAATTGTTTGTTTCTTTGTATCAATCGGGGCCAACTGTAATTAAATAGTGACAAGTATAAATAAGTAAATACATTAGAATCTCACATTATTCAAGAGGAATTACATCAACTATTTGCACATTTATTTATTTGTTTCTTTCTTTCTATCTTCATTTATTTTATTTACCATTTGTAATGAAAACAGTAACGGGTATAAATACAGACAAAACATAAATAAATAAATACACACCCTAAGATTTATACTTTCCTTAACGCAATTCTTTTTGTAGGAAATCTTCTACTGTTATGTGCATGAGCTCCTCTCCTTGTTCAACTTTATCTAGTCAAATAAATTTCACCTGTCAACTACCAATTTATATTTACTGCACTTTATTCTTCTGAGTTTTCTCAGTTTTCAAGATTTAAAGTTTCATTCCTCATCCCGGCCTGTCATAACAGCCAAGCAAGACGACATTATCTCGCTAACCTTGTAGCTCAAACCCTGTCATGTCTGCTCCTTCCTGAGTGACAGCAAATATGTCTGAAATGAGTTGTGGCTGCTGAAGACTATTTTCCTGACAGTGATGCAGCATGCTTTGTCAGTCAGGTCTCCACCTTGGTCCTTTAGAAAATGACCTCTGACAAACGCAACAGAGTCCATACATCAAGGTCCGTCCTCACGTCCTGCAGTGCGTAAAGTTACGTGACAGACATTCAGTCATTCAGAACGTCAGCAATGGACCATTTAATGTGATGTGTTATTGCTGCATTTTTCACTTTTAACAAACAAAAATAATGTGTCATGCAAGTGACTGACAAGTGGTGAAACAATCCTCAGGAGCACGGGCCGAGTTTATGAGATGTATGACAATGTGTCAGGCCTACAACAGCTGAAGGGTGCCATCTTCCCTCAGGTAAACTTTCTCAAACTTTTGCCTTTTTACTTTCCTCCAGAGAAGATGTACAGCTAAACTCCCTGAAGTGCCGAAGTTTTAGAATTTCTCTGCACTGGCGCTGAGAAGAATTACTTTCGTGCTATTTAAAAGAAATTGTCAATGCATACATTTATGCAAACAGACTAAGACAGAATTCTGAGTTCTGATACTAAAAATATAATACAAATACAATAAATACTCATTTTAAATATTAATAAGTATCATTGATATTGATCATTAATTAAATAATACATTTATTTATTATAATAATTATTATTAGTAGTATTATTATTATTATTAAATACAAACTTTCACAATTAATGCATATTGTTTAAAATACTAATGCTAATAAGTATCATTGTTATTGATAATAAAATAAGACCTATTAAATAAGCACCAGAAATAATAATAATAATTATTATTATTATACCATAATAAAATACAAATTATTTACAAAATAAAAAACGTACATGCTTTTTCCATGTTCCACTATAACATGCTTATTCCAGGCTCCACATAAAATAATAAGTCATATTTATTAAGTGATAAGTGGTAGTAGTAGTAGTAATAACAATAACAATCATTTAAAATGTAATCAAACCACTCCCCATTATTTCCTGTCCATACTGTCAAAGAAAGTGACAAAATAGGGCTTAAATGAAGAAGAAGAAAAAAAGCGAGGCTTAGCAAGTGCAATTGGCCATCAGTCGCCTTTGACACTAAATCTGAGGAGACTGAGACGTCATTGACTGACTCATCGTCACACTGCGATGAGAACACACGCAGCAGAGAAGGTCAGAACAGGAGGATGAAGAAAACGAGGGCTGAAGGAAAAGCAGGGGGATGAGGAGGAGGAAGAAGAGGGTTTGCGTCAGGTACTAAAGAGCGTATTGTTCAAGACTGAGTAGTTGATTGTGAAATGACAAGCATGACGGAGAAAGGATTGGTCTGCCGATTCCAATTGTCTGGCAGGACTAGAACTGGAGCTGAGTTTGAGAGAAATCAGGACTGACTTGAAAGAGTCATGCTGGATGAGACACGGGGCTTGAAAATGACATTAACCCCCATTTACAAAACCACAGGAGCATGCTGGGACTGGCTGGGCTGAGCCTGCGTGTGTCCAGCTGCTCATTCATCCATGCATTTAAACCATATATGTCAGGGGAAACAGGTGGAAATGGAAACAGAAGGTCAGGACATACAGTATACTGACAGCATGTGTGCACACATAGTCTTGCAGAGCATAAAAATTACTATTACAATGCAGGCATTTTGACCAAGAACCGTCCACATAGACATGAAGAAACCATCAAATGGCATGTGAATTTTCCTTTTAATGACATATATTCTTAAACCAGATATAACCCTTTGAGCAATCAGGTGAGCTCAAGTGCATCTGGTTCAATTGTTTGAGGCTGTGTGTCCACCAAAATATATTTTTTCCCCTTGAGGCTAGCATACTCTTTAATTGTTTTCAAACGGAGCACAGCATATTTAAATAAGCTGACAGCGTGACGAAGCGGTTCACTTTGTGTTTTTTTCTGGTCGCAAAGAGAAAATGCTTAACTTTGAGTAAAAGGCAATGCTCATCAGTGCCAGTCGTCCAATCACAGTGAAGGAGGGCGGGGCAAATATTGCCAACCGTCACATTCTACTGGAGTAGAACGACTGAACAACAATGGAGAAAGCCAAAATATTGCTGGTCTCCGAGTATCCATGTCTGTACCATATGACATCTCCAGACTATAACAACATTAATATAAAAAAATATGGCTTGGGGGAACATTTGGTTGGGTCTAGCTAAATGCTGCGCCTCCAAAGCAATCTCAAGCGCCCACAGCTGGGCATTTTCAAAAGAGCACCTGGCATTTTCATCTGGCTAAAAACACTTTGGTGGACACACGGCCTTAAAGTGTCTCAAACTAAACTCTTAAATGTGATAGTTCAACCAAAAATGAAAATTGTGTTTTCCCCATACTATGGAAGTCAATGGGGACCAATAACTGTTTGCTTACCTGCATTCTTCAACATATCATTTTGTGTTCAACAGAAGAAAGGAATTTTCTTTGGTTTGGAACAACTTGAGGGTGAGTAAATGATGACACAATATTTATTTTTTGGATGAGCTATCTCTTTAAAATTGTTCAAAGATTAAATGCCATAAACATCACAATCTTTGGCAAATCAATTAAATCTTCTTGGAGCAACCTGGAAACTACCAGCAGACTGATAAAAGCCATTTACAAACTCCAGAACACGAGTAAAGTCAGCTGTTTAGATTGGAGTTAGCTGGTTTGAGAACGCTCTGGTCATTTTTGTGTGAAATGACACACCAGGGCCATCTGAGGCTAAGACTAATATGTGAGTGTTTTTTATCAGCTTACCCATCATTCTACCCATCATGGTGGGTCGTGGGGTGTGGTTGTCATCCAGGCTCTCTCCGGAATACAGCGACTGAGAGATCCATCGCTCATGTTCGTCTCGTGGAGAGTTCAGAAGCACAGGCGGGCTACCTGGAGCCTCCTGGGAAGAAAAAAATAAGATTTTATTTTTAATCTGATGAAATTGTTTTTCTCTCTTTAAGCACAATTATCACACAATTGTGTCAGATGCATGCCTAAAACAATTTAAAAAACACAGAACAAAGAGTAAAATAAATGAATTTCTAACGCCCCCCTCCCCCCGGTTTTCAACAACAAAGACAGTTGTTGCACAGCTTGTAGAGTACATCTTCAGTATCTCATCCCCAGGCACTAGCGGTAATAGAGGTGTCACTGTGCTCTTTTGATTAGGCTGTTGGTGAGTGTGGTCTTTTGTGAGCTCTCATGTCCTTAGCATTATATACTTCCCCCATGGGCCCACATTGCGTGTGAAAGTGCAAGGCTGCACTTTCTCCCAAAGGAACTTCTCCTGAAGGAGGCTGTGTTGAGAATGAGGGGCTGCAATAATCCCTCACCCATTCTCACCTCCTGGGCTCTGGCAACGAGGAAAGACCAAGATCCAAGCTCTCGGAGCAATGGCGACAAGCCTTAAAGGACCAATGGGAATGTGCACAACCTAGCAAGGTATTTTACGTGCCTCAGTGTTCTCGATAGTTGCCAAGCATTTTCTTTCTTGCCCAATTCATCCATCATTCTACATATCCATCTGTCCATCCATCCAACCATCCATTGTTCTATCTATCTATCTATATATCTATCTATCTATCTATCATCCATCCATCATACTATTTTTTCAACGATAGGGTGTTCTCGATAGTTGCTAAGTGTTTTCTTACGGAGCCGACAACCAACCCTCCTTTGATATTCTAATATCTAGGTATGACTCAGGTCCCTCTTTCATTTTAGGTATATTAGATGTTTTACTTGATTTATAGTATGCAAACTTTATACGTCTGATAGCTTAGGAATGTAGCTGCACAATTTGAGGTATCATTTATGTTTTTGGCACAAATGATACAGGATGCATTATGCACCAAGGTTAAATGCTTGTAGGGTAGGGGTTTGACTGAATCTCTAACCAAATTGTGAGTAATAATAATAGGGATTACTACTTTATCTGTCAAAAACATAGACAGTTCTAACTCCAAGAAAATACCAGTGTCTAAGAGTCAACTTGAGTGGAGACAAAGTTGCTGGAAAACCAAGGCCTCTGGGTGAGATGAACACCATGCTCTGATTGGCTGAGGTCAGTTACAGTAACGATCAGGTACTGTAAGTAGAGTGTGGTCGGATCCTCTCTGTGTGACTTTCCCAGACATACTAGAGGAGGCCTATGGAGGAATTAGACTGATGTCTTCTGATCAATAGCAACCAAAAACTATTTTGAGAATCTCGATTCATCCTGGACAGCAGGATGCCCATCACACAATCTTACTCCACTCAGGAGCTCTGTGGCGCTGCATTGGGGACAACAAATGCTGTATTCGGGAGGGAAACTACCAGACTGTTTAATATAGATGAGATGTTTAATGAAGTCTAGAGCTGCTGACTTATCTCGCTGGGCCTGATAAAACAGCACGCATACTGACGCATAGAAGGGGTCAACGCAATTACAACTTCATCCGACGCAAGTGCCACGGGCAGCCTGACAATAAACCGCTCAGCCTGACTCTCCTCAATGAGCTTTTCATTACAAAACCAGGATTTGTTTTATGAGCCTTTGTTAAAGTCTGATGGTCGTGACAGAATGAGAGGAAGATCAAATGGGGAAGATGGGGAAGTATTTCTTAAAGAAAATAGAGGGAGATTGGTTGAACTGATCTGCTTGTGGGAGACAGATCTTTAGCGGCACAGTGTTTGGGAGGGAAATGAGGTGAACAGTTATTACGAACCCGTTTATTCTACCATCTCCAGCTGTAATCTCCCCTAATCTAGTGCTTTCTCAAACAGGATTAGCTGTGGATTAAAACGCCCTCTTCTAGTCTGTCTTCCGGCGAGGCTGTGATTGGCAGTCTGCAGGCTAGTTTGTCCCAAATTTGTCATTCTACCTATCCATCCTTCCATCATTCTACCTATCTATCCATCCTTTCATTCACCCATCCGTCCGTCCATCAATTTATCTATCCTTCCATCCATCCATCCATATGACTATTCATAATTCTATCCATCATTCTACCTATCCATCCATCCATCTGTCCTTCCATCAATTTTTCTATCCTTCCATCCATCCATCCATATAACTATCCATCATTCTAACCATCCATCCATCCTTTTACCTATCCTTCCATCCTTCCATCATTCTACCTATACACCATCATTTTACATATCCATCAATATATCCATCATTATACCTATCATTCTACCTATCCATCCATCCTTCTGTCCGTCCATCAATTTATCAATCCTTCCATCCATCCATCCATATAACTATCCATCATTCTAACCATGTGACTATACTTTGTTCTTCCTATCCATCCATCATTCTACCTTTCCATCCATCCATCGTTCTACCTATTCACCTATATTTTCATCATTCTACCTATCTATCCATCCATCCATCTACTAGTATATCCTTCAAAATGCGAATAAAAAACCTAATTAGGAATAAATGCAACAATTGAACAGTAGTTGTTTTCATATTGTTGCCTTAACCATGTTAAAGTCACTGTAATACAAACTTGTATTCATATTTTACAGTAAAACACAGCTGAGAAAATCCTCTCTGACCTTGGACCACAGGGAGGTTCTCCTTGTCTATATAGCAGCATCATATAGTTATTCTAATCCTTTCTCTAACACACACACACATAATAACACACACACACACACACACACACACACACACACACACGTCCAGACTGGACTGGCCTCCTGATGCTGTTTATGAGGTCTTAATCCAGTGCCCCTCTCTGCCTCTCAGCCTGTAATTACAGGTCTTAAGCTGTCACATACAGCCTCTGCTCTGTCCAGCTCTCTCCAGAGACCCAGACAGCCTCATTAGCCCTCTCTATCGCATCTCTCCAATCCCATTCTGTCTCTCCCGGCATTCATTTGCTCGGCTGTATGAAGAGCAGATGAACCCCGTATGGCAGATCTGTTGTCCTCTCTCACATATTTTCAGTCTATTTTTCAAGTGGATTATGACGGCTACAAGCGCCCGAGGCTGTGCAGCTGTGGGTTGAACTGCTCAAATTTACCCTGTGAATACTGTGCTTTAGAGCCAGTGACAGTTTATTATGTGTCCCCATAATGGGTGAATTAATTCTCTCAGCGGTGCACTGAATTGGTACAACTGCTTTAGTTAAAGGAGCCAAATTTCACACATTTAAAGTCCATATATAATACAACATTAGTAAAGGTTCATTGCACCCAAAACATCATAATTTAGTGACCATTTAGCATCGAAAAGGCTCTGTTTTGATACTGTACCTTTCAGACTATTTATGTACAGTAAGTGACCTTAATTGTGATTGGCTAACCTTAGTGACCTGTGTGGGACCATTGTTTGAATACTGGACATGTGTTGATATATAAATACAGGCAGTCGCATGACAAAGCACTCGTGCTTGTGGCGTCTACAGCATGACTGGAGAGAAGGGATATGAACAGATCAAAATTAGTTGTTCATTAAAAGTGGTAAATCATTGTAAAATTTCAGATTTATAGATTATTACTTATAAATGTTCTTATATATTTAGATTTAAGTATGTTTTACAAATATATTTTTATACATTTTATACAAACCCGATTCCAAAAAAGTTGGGACACTGTACAAATTGTGAATAAAACAGAATGCAATGTAGTTTCAAATTTCAATATTTTATTCAGAATACAACATAGATGACATATCAAATGTTTAAACTGAGAAAATGTATCATTTTTCCCTTAAAATGATAAATTTTCTCAGTTTAAACATTTGATATGTCATCTATGTTGTATTCTGAATAAAATATTGAAATTTGAAACTTCCACATCATTGCCTTCTGTTTTTATTCACAATTTGTACGGTGTCCCAACTTTTTTGGAATGTGTAGCTCTCATGAAATCCAAAATGAGCCAATATTTGGCATGACATTTCAAAATGTCTCACTTTCAACATTTGATATGTTATCTATATTCTATTGTGAATAAAATATAAGTTTATGAGATTTGTAAATTATTCCATTCCTTTTTTACTCACAATTTGTACAGTGTCCCAACTTTTTTGGAATGTGTAGCTCTCATGAAATCCAAAATGAGCCAATATTTGGCATGACATTTCAAAATGTCTCACTTTCAACATTTGATATGTTATCTATATTCTATTGTGAATAAAATATAAGTTTATGAGATTTGTAAATTATTCCATTCCTTTTTTACTCACAATTTGTACAGTGTCCCAACTTTTTTGGAATGTGTAGCTCTCATGAAATCCAAAATGAGCCAATATTTGGCATGACATTTCAAAATGTCTCACTTTCAACATTTGATATGTTATCTATATTCTATTGTGAATAAAATATAAGTTTATGAGATTTGTAAATTATTCCATTCCTTTTTTACTCACAATTTGTACAGTGTCCCAACTTTTTTGGAATGTGTAGCTCTCATGAAATCCAAAATGAGCCAATATTTGGCATGACATTTCAAAATGTCTCACTTTCAACATTTGATATGTTATCTATATTCTATTGTGAATAAAATATAAGTTTATGAGATTTGTAAATTATTCCATTCCTTTTTTACTCACAATTTGTACAGTGTCCCAACTTTTTTGGAATGTGTAGCTCTCATGAAATCCAAAATGAGCCAATATTTGGCATGACATTTCAAAATGTCTCACTTTCAACATTTGATATGTTATCTATATTCTATTGTGAATAAAATATAAGTTTATGAGATTTGTAAATTATTCCATTCCTTTTTTACTCACAATTTGTACAGTGTCCCAACTTTTTTGGAATGTGTAGCTCTCATGAAATCCAAAATGAGCCAATATTTGGCATGACATTTCAAAATGTCTCACTTTCAACATTTGATATGTTATCTATATTCTATTGTGAATAAAATATAAGTTTATGAGATTTGTAAATTATTCCATTC